TTCAGCATATAACTCCGTTTATGAATTTCTAAGTTTATTGCATGTCATGATGTTTGACCACCATGTCACTAAATTATTTTTGTGAAATTATTCCACTAGGTTGTAATAATTATTAATACAAAGATCGAACACTAAGAAAAAATCTTTCGATGCCGAATTCAGCCGAATTCGTACCAACGTCTTCCAGTAAGCCGTGCCAGACTCTATGCCATTTTTCTATATGCTTGTTGCAGATCTTTGGATTTGGTTTTTAACGATTTATTAATAACGGTTCCATTTATGAAATTACGTTTTATTTTTTCCCATTAAATAGACTTTTTTGTTTGTAGTGTCGTTGAATTACAGTGAACGCGCTACGGAAATTTCATTACTTAGCTATTCTACCCTTATATAAAAGACAATTGGACATTCCCGCAGTACTTTGCAATTTGTAAATTATGATAAAAATAACATACCCCATTCATTAAAAGCCATTGAGTATTGAACGGATATTCGTCTGCTTGTAGAAAGTTTAAGGAATGATGGCTGTGTCGAAGATTTTCGACATATTTGAATATTTATGTTCTTTCGAGACTACTGTGATGTGGTCCGACGAGATACGTGGAGTAAACAAACTGTTCGTATAGTGACATCAACTTGTATTTGACTGTGGGAATATTAGTACGTAACTTTTTATCCATAATGCAACGTCTATCATAGTCGCAGTTTTGAATGAGTTGATTATGTTTGTAAATGTTTGACAACCTCACGCAAAATCGTGCTAAAGTATCTATTTACTCTAGTTTTAGGACTTATACAGTTTAATTACAATGTTTATTTTAACGCACACACTCATAGCCCCGTACTATATAGGGAAATCCTGTATCGCGGGTGCCATGGATACACACAAAGATAATTAATTACAAATTACATCCAAACTCACGAGATAAATAAATGTAGGCCATCTCAATATTTCTCTCGGCCCGAGAATCGAATCCGGGACCTCTTCGTCAGTCCAGGATGGTAACCGTTCGACCACGGAGGCAGTTGAAAGTATAATTTTCCTCTAAGCAACGCCTCATTACGCCCTTAAAAATGCCTCATTTAAATAGTAATTTCTACTCAACTACTCATAATATGTGTGCCAGACAACCACACCAATAGCCTGGTCTCAAACTAGGGAATTCCCTATGCTATGAATACCAACGTCACGGAATTAGCTCTGGGGCACTTCCCAGACCACCCAGACGATAACCGTTCATTTAGCAGACGTTTCTAGAAGAATTCTTTGCTAAGCACTTTCATATTATGATCTATATATTTTGTAGTTGAAAGAAGTAGTTTTCAATTGTTTTACCATTTAAATAACTTTTAAATGATTAGAGACATAAATCTCAAATTAATTGTAGTCTAAATTACGTAAGTAGTATCCTGTAAGTGGATATACTTTACAAATTAAGACAAGTATCTAGCCAATATTAACAATACCTGTTACGCATCTAAACCATACAAAAAGGCACCTAGTACATTGTTATCAACGTACACACAACACAGCCATATAAACTACATTGTCGCAACAAGATGACAATTGTTCGCTGTTCACGGGAACTCGCAGTCGGAATATCCTGCTCCTGTCGCTTCCTTTGCTTCCATATGTGCTAACTAGGTTACTAGATAGTACAGGATATTCAACCTAAACACAGCACTATAATTCTTATTTAATTGACTAGAAAGCACAGAATTGCCACTAGATTCAATATATATGTATCGAGTTTTTGTTTCTGTTTTTCTATCGATCTTCCGTAGAAAAATTAAGGAAATAACATTGATACAAGAGATAAACGGCGACAGCGTCCATTTAATTTAAATTTATTCTATCATGTATATTAATTATCACAATTATTAATCAGTAATCATTGGCCTATCAATAACTGGACGTCGGGTTCACGTTAAAAAATGTCCGCACCTATAGGGCGTTAAAATCGCATACAGAACGTTAATCGCGCAGTCTTCGTTTGTTCGACTGAAAGCGCGGTTGTCACTCATGCAGTACCATTTAATAATAACTTGTAAAAATTACTGCAGTAAAGTGTAAAAACAGGATTTTGTATCGAATTTTAACTAAACAAATATATTGTGTTATAGTTCTCATTTAAAAGTGTTATTTTCTACATTTTTATAGTATTTAATTTATATAGAAATGAATCGTAAATATAAATTACAAAAGCACACAAAATAATTAAATAGCTAACTGTCCTTTTTCTACACATTGCATGTGCAAAAGATGGAAAAAGACCAATTACGTCAATTTCAAGAAGCTTATATAAACTTCTTGGTCATTTTCAATTGTTCGAACTACAAGCGATTGAAATATTTAGAACAAAGAAACTATAGAGTCGCTTTGATTTTAATTTCATTTTTAAAATGATTTTTTATTAAACGTTAGCAATAACTAACAAAATATTGTTGTACTCGTTTTACGGCTTGGGATTACCTATCAAAAGTCAGAAAATACATTTGCCTGAAACAACGTTAGCTTAAATTTTTATAATGTCAAATGCATTTTTTAGGAAGATTACAAAACAAAAGCTAATTTTGTCTTTGTGAAAAGCATCAAATTTACTCGAAAGCGTAACGGTTTTATTAAATCGGATTTCGGAATTACAGATATTTGAGTTTACATTTAGTTGGAATATCGGTACATTTCTTATAGTACACGCTTATTTTCACATTTGTAGGAATATTTGTATACATGTATCTGCCCAACTCTTTATTAATTCTTTAAATGAATTGTACAAAATTCGACATAATAATATATATAAAAATTAGTTAATATTTACGATAAAGGCTACTCCATTACTCTTGTGTTCAAGTAATTTTCAGTCGAACCTAAATATGGTGCATTTTGTTAAATTTTCAGTAGAAGCTGAATATGGTGTTTTTGGGCCCTTAAATTGTTGCAAGCAAAATAAGGCAGTAATGCAATGACGTTACAATTTAAATTAAATGTTTTATTTTTTTATATTTCGTTGCATGTCACTACGTTTGTATAAGTTAATTTCGGAAATTTTTTTTGTCGTTTTTGTATTAGACCCGACGTCCATTTGTTGATAGGTCAATGTCAGTAATTGTTTATTTCAGTTATTACAATTATTTCTCAGACATTATTATTATTACGAACATCTTTTTAATTTTTCTATTGTAATTGCACATTTACAGAATCGTTTTAAATTATAATTATACAATTATAATTTAAAACGATCTTTTTAAATGTCTTTTATTCGGCTAATATTGTGTACTTTTGTTTTTAATCTATTAATTATTTTCCTTTTTGTTTTTTAACAGATCTTGTGATAGTTATTATGTTCTAATGTAAATAGTGATTAGCCGAAAATATGTTTCTTTCTTTCTTTCTTTCTATTATGAAGTTTTCGGATGCACTGGTTCTGTAACAGCATACTTGAGACATTAGCCATACAGTAGAGACTATAGGTATAGTTTTGACGACCTCGGTGGTTTATACGTTATAACGGTATATGTTTGATTCCCGGTAGGACTAAATTGGGAAATGAACTTTTCTAAATTGTTTCTGGTTTGGATGTCCTGGGAAGTGCCCCAGAGTGAATTCCGTTGCTCTAAGACAGGTAATTCCTTAGTTTGAGACCAGGCAATTGGTGTGGTTGGATAAAGCGTTGTTCCTACAACAATTGCAAAATGTTTTTGGTTGTCACGCCTTCGGGGTTTATTAATATATAGTAATAAGTTACCATTTGACTATAAACCAATAAATTACCTGCATCTGTAACTAAAATTCTTCGTCACGTTGTTCTAGAATTAAACTGAAATGATTCATTTTCATGTATTGTTTACGAACAATAGCTTTAAAAACTAATATCACAATTTTAAATGACACACATTTTCAGAAAAGTTTAATTGAACATAATTGAAGTGCAAAACGTTGAATTATAATAAAAATATTTTGTTTAATTCTGCCCAGAGTTGTGAGTAGTGTTGGAAAATTGGTTAATTACCGTCTGTGAGATGAGGTGAATCATTTGACTAGTATGTGTCATTGTGACCTTATATAGTAATAATAAATAAGTTTAAAGTATGCCATGTACTCACAAATATTCTGACATCTCGAATGTATTTACTAAATTGATACTATGGGTCGTATTCTAGAACTCTACTCAATGCTCAAGTCATGATTTGAGTATGATTCAAAGCACTAAAAATCATACTCAAGTCCTTGCCATTAGGGTCGTATTTCCAGTGCTTGAAATCATACTCAAGCCTGCTCAAATCCTGACTTGAGCATTGAGTAGAGTTCTGGAATATGATCCTAAGTTTCAGGAAAAGAAAACTGAAGTAAATTAACAGTTTTGTACGTTATTGCGTTTGTCAGTTGCTTTTGCGATCGGTAATAGTTCGGTTCTATCCGTTATTTATCGGTGCAATAAGTATTAGAATTTAAAACTGTTAACTGTTTCAATAATTTTGTTCTACATTGACAAATGCACAAAATATTTAAAGTAAGTTTTTTTGTTAACCTCAAAATTACCCTTACTAAAATATAATACATTTCAACCTATTCGCTTTAATGACGCCGCACTTCCGATAGAAAACAATTAGTTATTTAACATATCAATGTATAAAATTTCACGCTTGCAACAATGGAATCGCGATCGTGCAGATTTCGGTGTCAACAAATTCATTCACCATCATTCAGTTTGCTACCCCTAACGCAGACGCGATTTGTCCAACGACTCGTTCACGTGCCCTTAACTATAATATTTTTATCGTTTATAAAAATTATTTTTGTTATTTTGTCATACGATACACAATTTGAATATTACAGTTGGGAGAAAAAATAGTCATACATTTATATTTAGAGAATTAACTGTGTTCCTGGATGCGTCACTGGTTGTCAGAGCTGTAGGGCGACCGGTCGGGGCGAAAGTCGGCTTTGGCTACACAGTACGACCGCTGCGGTACCAAGCCACAGTCTCATCTAAGCCACAGCTATGCGCGCATCCTCCCCATCATAGCCGAAAATTCTACACTCGAAGTCCCGATTCCCGCGTGTCGAAACCACGCGAAAGTTGAATTTCATAACAACTCGCGAATATTTTTTTTTAATTTTTAACCAATTGAACTTTACTTTTTTCGGACGAACTTACACTTGGCGGCAAACGGTAAAGTTTTGTGTTGTGTAAAGTGTTTTGCATACTATCAGAGCTTATTAGGATTTTTTATTTGCTTCTGTGTGCTGTATCGGTGTACCGAAAGATTCTGTTCATGTGAAAGTGTTGCTTTATTTTGTGCACTTTATGATTTGGATTTTTTTGCTCCGGAATTTTTGGTTGGTTTTTTTGTATTTTTGTGTTTAGAGCTTTTGTCCTATTCATTTTTATTAACAAATAAATGTGTTTATGATGTATGGAATGAGTGCCAAGAAAAATAGAGAAGCATTTCCTTTGAGAAAGAAAATACCGACGAGCACGCGGCTACGTTTTGCGCGTTGCGCGTCATGAACTTATTTGAACTTCAATTTTCCAGGCATTGATTGGATCAATGGGATGTCATTACCTAAAAATATTGTAATATGAAATATTGACCCGGTACGTACTAAAAAGGGTTGGCTATATTTCACAAATTGTCATCCCTAGTTTTCTAACGCAACTACTGTGAAAAGGCGTCAGTAATTTATGTTAGTTAAATCGGAACAATTTAATAATTGGCCAGCAGACCATCAATTTCACATGTCGACAAATGCTATCGCATTATATTAACGGTGGCTTGGCCACTTAAGAAAATGCTTACCGCGGGCAAGCCGCCGCAAATGATTAATTTCTTATAGTATTAATATTGGACTGAAGTCAATTTAATATAGAGATTGTTCAAAACTATAGATATTGCTTCTGAGATAAGGTGTGATTTAGATTGCAGTGTAAGTTGGTAAGAAGTAAATACTTATTTTATATAGGTGCGTCGCTATCATGTGTCTGTTTAAATAGACCGATAGCGTTCTCTAGTTTCGATGTATCATTGAACTTTTAGCTACTGTAATGATAGTTTAGAATAATTCCAGATTAATATTTTTTCTGTAGGGATGTTTTTTTTATAATATAAAGTGGAGGGACGAAGAAGTCGTGTGCCCCGTGTTAAGCGACACGCCTATGCATAAATGTTGCAGTGCCATTCAGAGCTTTAAATTGCAAAGATCTTATGGGTACTGCCACTGCGCCCGTCACCCTGAGACATAAAGTTGACAAGTCCCATGTGCCTGTAATTTCACCAGCACCCTTACCTTCTGAACCGGAACGAAATAATGCTCACGTTACTGCTTGGCGGCAGAAATAAGTAAGCTGGCAGTACTTCACTAGACGGACTCTTTCACAAGAAGCTCTACTACTACTAAAAATAAACACATTGCTTTATCGTTACACTCGGAGTTGCAATATATTAGAAGTATTGCTTAAACTATCCATAAATATAAGCAGCATAATTACTTAATTACTAATAAAATATAGTACCCAGTAAACATATTTACGTAAAGATACTTAATAAGCGAAACTTTTCACACATTAAGCTATAAAACGCTTAACAGTAGAAATTATGTTCTGTCGTCTGTTGTTAACCCTAGTAAAGTCAAAAGTTTTCGGGAAATAATTCTTACTGCCATCTTCAATAATTTTTAGCATATCAGAGTTATTTTAGACCTTAACAATAAACTTTGCCTGACTATTAATAGGGTTCTAAATTATACAAATTTGTAAATACGTAATTATGTACATCATATATTGAAAAGTACTTTTTTGAGAAATTTAGTTTACGTGCAAATTCGACAATTGATGAACTGTTGAATCGAAATATACTTACTATCTTTGATATTTGATAAGTAGTCGAATACACATGTATAACAAAAAGGGAAAAAACGGCTATTATGGTACAGGCAATTCACTACAAAGAGTGGTGATTGTCCAATGGGAGAACGGTTGCTTTTCAATTAATAAGACAGCGGTTCGAATCCCTGTGGCGGCTTTTGTGAATGTTAAGTAGCATACCACTCGCTAACTATGAAGGAAACTATTTTGATAAAACCAGTACGTCGAAGAAGGTACACAACCCTTGTAAAACGCGTGAAGTACCCAACCCGCATTGAACCACACTAGCGACCCAAACTATCACCTTAGAGAAGACTCGTGCCCAGCAGTAGGATATATAGTAGGTTAAGGACATACAAATATTAGAATATGTTAGTGATGATGATGATGAATGTACATTCATCATATAATAAAGGCGTGTAAGTAATGTCAATCTAAAATGCCTTTTCTAACATAATTCCTTGTCTCAAAATGTCTTCTTTGTTTTTTCTCCGTGCTCTTTACGCAAAACGACAATCGTGGTATATAATCCGATCGTACAAAAATCAAATCTCTGATGAAAATCATAAACCAGTTAAACTCATGATTTTCATAGTATCTTCAATAGAATCAAAATTCTTCACTTCGTTAGTCTATTTTTGAGTACGGGCACTTATATACGGGTAGCATATCTTAAACAGTAACACTTGTAAAATATATGTTCATACATAGATATGGTTCGACCGTCACCGGAAATTGAAAAATTCTATATCACATTGTACGAAAATGTTTCCGTTTCTTGGCTCTGTAATCGTAAATTCTTACAAAACTAGCCTATTTCCAATGATTGCTTATTGCTTATTGTAACACAATAAATGTTGAGAAAAAAATAGGTCATTATAAGTTTCAAATACGAATTGGTTTTGATTAAAAAATTTGGAATTACATTTTGACTCAACACGCAAAGCGCCTTGAATATTTCAAGTAATCCATTTTATTTAAAGTTATAAGTAATGATGTTTAGGAAATATAGGTACTTAAAGTCATAAATATGCGCATGTCGTAGATTTTATAAAGAAAGAGATTTTGAAGTCATAATTTGTGTCGGCATATAAAAATCGTATGAAAAAATTTATTTCTCTTAACCTTAAAACATTAAATCAGACCTTTTTCCACCTCAGATACAGTTTTCCTAACTACAAAATGAAGCAAATATATTAGAAAAGGCATCCCATATTTTGTGAGAATGGTGTTATTGACTCGCATAAGTTTGAGGAAAACAGCGCAGAATGCACCTAGAACGGATACTTTGTAACTGCGACGGTTTGTTCCAAACTTTCGACTTCCGATCGTTCTGATATTTCTAAAAATAGAAAACTGCTTCTTGCTGAAAGTACATATATTTTTGTAAATATGTTGTTTGTATAATTTAGCCACTAAGAAAACATGCACATAGTTGTGAATGTAAAAGGACAAAAAAAAATTTGTTTCAATGTTAGCAACTACTTGTGTCTCAGCATTTTTACGCAGTTTTTGTACTTCAGTAAATTTTAACAAAGTCGCGTATATGTTTTATTTTTTAAGTGATACAATAGCTAATGAGAACTAATATATTTTGAAAAAACATTTGCTTTTGGCTGCAGATGTTATTTTAGGTACGGCCGACTTTGTTTTCGATTAATCCCAGCGACACCAGTGGACCCCAAACATACGATTACCTTTTACAAGCGATTTTTTATTGAAGCAGTAAATGTCCGATTTTTAGAACATTGTCGTTCATTATGAGTTTCCAAAATCAAAATTCGTTGAACATGGTGCAAAATAGTCGTAACGTACAAAAAAAAAAATTATAAAGGGGATCGTTTTGCACGATAAACTTCGATGAGTATTGCAATGTTTTTAAAGACAGAATTTTAGTGGTGCCATTTTTATAGATGTCTTCGTCGTGGAAATAAAATTTAAATACCATCGTGTTTGCGAAAACAAGTTTACGGCACAGTTTTATTAATTCTAAACTCGAATAACTTCATTGGAGCCGGGAGTCGAATGGTACGTGTGTATGTCAGCGCAATTTCAATAAAACACTCGCAGTCGGCACTTCGTTTATCGCACATAAATTTAGTGGACGGTTTGCATCGCGCGCGGGCGAGCACACGGGCGATTCTCTCTGGCGATTTTTAAAACGACTTTGTACACACTTTATCAGGGTTCACGACTTCAATGATGCAATTCATGTCAGCCTTGATAGTCGTTGATTACCGATCCTCAAGGATAAGAACATTTTAGTGCTTAGGATTTTCTTTATAGACACTAAAGATAGAAGATTGAAAACATAATAATATTCCTATACTATGCCAGTGCTGTGTAGTACTCACTTATCCATTATTTTATGCAAACAAAATGAATAAAATAATATGAAGATTCAAAATTGATTAATTTCATTGTGTACGTATGATAGTCGTGCAAACAATCGATAAAAAATATTTGCACATTAAAATATTACTATATGTTAAGAAAAATGTCAATAACCTAACCAGCAATGTTCACTAAGTATTCATGATGCCTGTCGACATACATTCAATTAAAATAACAAAAAGAGATTGCAACGGTAGCTTTATAATGTTGTACATTACTGTTCACATACATGCATTAAATCGCCCGTGTGTATCTCTACCGTTCAATGCACTCTAACTTCACGGCATCTCTGTAACTTTCCCGAATTTTAGAGCTGTTACGTTTACGACTCTACTACGTAGCTGAAACTCATTTAGAACTCACTTTATTACGTTTGTAGCTATTTAAAAAAATATATTTGATAATCATGATGATAAATGTTCGTTTTCATGAAGACTAGAATGTACATTTATAGTAGAGTTCATTTTATACACTTTTTATTCCTGTTTGTCTAGCTGTAATTTACTGAACATCGTATCATCTAGCTGCGATTGCTCTATAAAATCTTTAAAATAGAATTACAAATCTTTGATTTGTACTTGGAATTCATCTCTACATTTTGTATTGACGAGTATATCTTTGTTCTTTGTTATCGAGAGCTCTTTATTGGTACTATCGAGTTTTAATCGAGAATCATTAATAATACTTTTAGTATCTAAATAGTGCAAGTACTATCAGATGGGTACTACATTCTAGTAAACATGTAGTTTTCTAGCTTGGTAGTTTTTAAAATAAAAATGTCCGTTCGAAGAGTGATTTATGATCGCTGGGTGTTTGTAGATAGATGGTTGTTTTCGTAAAGATGTGTTGCTGCTGTACGTTACTCCGCCATTGATAAATTTCCAAACAATATTTTCACTTTACCACGAGATGTACTAGAACGCTTCTAGGTTATACATCAAATGAAGTAAATTAATGCATGTGACACATAATTATATCAATTACCATGTTTCAAATTAGAGGATTTCCAGTATTGAGATGAAAAACGAATGAAAAATGAAATGCATTACACAGAACACGCAAACTCCATTTCGTTTCCAAAATCACCGGGAATCGAACCTGGGATCTGTTAACTTAACGCCCAGATTGCTAACCACAGAACCACGAAGTACACAAAATGCAAAGTACATAAATTACATATGTATTTAATGAAATTTTGTAGAATTTTTACTGCTATATCAATCGACATACGTCTCACAGTTGGGGATATCTCTCATGCACCGTGTAAAATAAATAATAATAATAATAAATATTACACAACATCACATGCGTTGCTCTGTTTGGGATGGAAATCGGAAATACCCAGATTCGAGACTAAATAGAAAAGTTAGTTATTCTACACTGACCCGGGATCGAACCCGGGACTTCAGAGATGACAGCGTGAAAACCGGTGTGCGAGGCATTGTCTCTAGGGACTGAAAAATTCTACCTGATTTATTTACATAGGTAATAGCAATAACGTGGTAGCGTCATATCATAATAATTAAGGACTAAAGACAAAGATCAAGTAGCTTTATTTATATAGACTTTGTAATGAAATTCAACATAAGCGACAATTTATGTACAAAAGGGGATTTCCATATTACCATAATAAAACTAACAGTGCCATATACTTAACTAATATCATCATGTTATTTTGTTACGAAACGTTACTTGTTATAACGAAATGGGCAAATATTTATATTGTTGTTAGTTTAAGTAGAGTGGGCCTTTGGGGCGCAGTCGCTTAGCAAAGAATTATGATGTCACTGCTTTTAATATGGTAGAATTTATTCTAAATCTGACCTAAACTAAAATAATTTAATTCTTTAGTTTAGTTATAATAATAAACAACTGTAATCAAAACGTGCTGAATCGTATTGTGAATCTGAGATTTCCGTTAAAACAATCACATGACAACTGTGAGCTGGTATTATTCGTCAGATTTCAGCGCCAGATCTGTTTTTTATGACATCGAGAGACGGCACAAACAAGTCGTACTCCTGGTCGTAACCGACACGCCTGTCCGTGTCCATAAGCAGTGCCACTTAGAGCTTTAAATCACAAAGCTAAATCGCAAAGACATAAGTTGACAAGTCCCTTGTGCCTGTAATTTCACCAGCATTCTTACCCTTCAAAACCGAAACGCAGTAATGCTCACATTACTGTTTGTCGGTAGAAACAGGCAAGGAGGCTTAAAAACAGTTATTATCACTTTAAATCATCGCGATGATTAGATGTTTTTGATATACATGGTTCTAGAAAGCCATCGATGTGAAAACGACAATGCAAGCTTGTATTATCAGCTTCTATAGGAATGAATTGCTATTTTGCGGAATGAATTGAAATTTAAACTATTTATATGGACACATACCTAATCTCGACGAGCGAAGGTTTAGGTCATAGTCCGCCACTCTGGCTCAATGCGGGTTGGGGATTTCACACGTTTTCCGAGGATTGTAAACCTTTTTCGAACGTATAGGTTTCACCATGACATCACTACGCTTCGCGCGTATTCGCTTGGAGCATAGTGTTGTCGCTTTATTATTATAGTTGTACATACTTGAAGGCCGTAAACATAATTTGAAAAAATCTCCACATCTCAATCACAGTATTCTCGTGCTCTATTGAAATAACCGTTTTTAAATACATAACTTACGTGTTGATATTTTTACACCAGGATCGCGGTTTGGAATCTCGAATATGAAGTAATTAATACTTCATATTCGAGATTCCAATCTACATCACTATACATCTAATAACATATCTCGATCATGAAATACTTATGTCACGAATAATTATGAAATACTGAACCTGAGGCACTCTTGTCCGTACCATAAACATAACAATAAATACGTCTATTATTTATTGATGTCACTTTTTAAACGCGGAGTGAAAATTTCAATTTTATAATAGATGGCGCGTGTGTCGGCCCACGCTACGCAACTCGAGTGTACCGCGAGATTATACAAATGTGTGCGTCCGTACACGGCGCGCGGTGGGCATGCACACATACAAAACGCTCTGTTACGTTTGTATGGAGTTATTTATACAACTTGTTTCGTTATACTATTATGGTATTATTGCCTCTCGATAATTTAAAAAAACTTAACAGAATCTTAGGTATTAAATATTGGGACTTTTTATTATTTTATTAAATTTATTCGGGTAACAGCAGCTTACAATTATTGATAATTATTAAAATACCTAAAAAAGGGTGTATTCGTTAAATAGTACTGCTAAATAAAGAGACAAATTAATAACTGTTTGAGAAGAATGATTCGCTAGTAAAGAACATGAAACACGGCTTTGACGTTGAGTGCACCGATCAACTGATGATGTTCCCAGAAAATTGTAGTGACAGGACTGGACGGGACCTTTGTAGAATTTTATTAGGCAGTCCCATGTTCAGATAGTTCCACACGTTGCAAATGATGATCTTATTAAATAGATTATGTTTCGGTCACATGTCATACGACGTTATACTCTGTATTGTAATTTGGATTTAAATATAGACATGACCACGAGAGTAATCTCGGAAGCGTTAAATAGAATTATTTTCCTGGGTATTCACTCAATAGATTTATGTGATTGTAGAGATGAGAATACAGATGTGGGGGACGCTGACTGCGAAATCATTCGGAGTCTGATGCAACCTTCAATGAACTAACTACTCGACGCAGAAGAAAATTAGATTCAAAATTTAAGGATACCAACTGTATCTACTTATAAACAGTAGCGAACCAATATGAAATTGACCATGCAAATATTATTAAAATTAGTGTAACTTGAGAATCCTACCATAAAGCAGACCACCCACTGTACAACGTTTATAGCTTCGCAGATTTAATTGCTTTTTGATATAAATTCCAATTTCAATTAGGAGCTAAAGATTCTGCTTGCAAATAAACGTAAATATCTAATAATTTAAGAAAATTCTTTGGTCATACTTTAAAAGGTAAAACATAGTTATATAAATGTTAGGAGATTGTGGTTTACTTAAAACCAAGCTAAATTCTTAAAATTTACAATATGTAAAGTCGTCGTAGGGAGCGGGTATTTATTACTATCTATCTTAGAATATTTACATTTCTAAGAAATTGACGATTTTTTATTTATAGTGTTCATTTATTGTCATTTTTCCTTATGTCTTATATGTCGCTCCCATTTTAGTCTAACGCGAAACACATTATTTCTCTTTATATGGTTCGGTTGTAGGCACGTGTGTAAATATATGCATATGTATACTGGCGTAAACATGTATAAGTGTAAATATAGACAAATTTAGCGAGTCTATTAATTTGTTTGCAAACAAAATTTAATACAACACGTGGCATCTCAAAACCAATATGGCAATTGAAGCAGGCGTAGACAGCTACGCGCAAAGCGTACATGTAATCGTTGCAAAGAACGCATAATTTTCCATGATGTGGTTAGTACGCCACAAACACACAATACCATATTATAGTGTCAGAACATAGGACGGAGAAACATTTGTAAACCTTTTGTTTGGTTTATATTCTGACACATATTGTTTATTAATTTGGATAAAGAACCGATTTCTTATATGAGGTTTTGTTATGTTAAGTTATTAAATCTCACATTAAATCCTAGTGTTCAAGGAAGCCGAAATTTTATTAACATGTATAAAAAAATAATTTAAAAATCAAATATTTCAGTTCTTACTACCACTAGTAGCTAATGTGTACAGGAGGCTGTGCGGTAAAAATATTAACAGGTCAATACGCGCTACTTCTAGTGTCAATGCGTCGTCGGCGGTTTAAACTTCAAGCCAAATGTACCTGGGATCTGCACTCAGGACCTTCACCTTTATTTATGTACACTCGGACAGAAATCACCCTTTGCGTCGCCCGCTCGACGCATGGGAACCAAGAAAGCATTCAAAATGATTTATTGTAAATGGTTTTCTACTTTGTTGGCTAAAATAATAAGTCCTGCGGCCAGATCGCTGTTCTAAATTCCATATTTTATTGTTATTTTTCCCTTTACATTACCGCTCGCCGATCGCGGCTGCCGAAATTTAATTTGCCCTTTGCGGGCTCACGGTGAGTGAATGAGTCAGCGATATGGTAATCAGCCAACTAATGTTCATTAATTACCGTTTTAAATAGAAATCACAATCATAGAGGAAACTAGCGGTGGTGTTGAATGAGATGTAGAGAATGTTAATAAAAACGTTAAAGTTAAAAGCACAGTAAGTTCGCGGGTGGCTTTGTCCCCACGCACAATGGTAGATGTCGAAGCGATTGACGCCTTAACTCCGAAGGTGTTATAAGAATTAGTAGCCCATTATTGCTCTATAGAAAACGCATGGTGAAGCGGAAAGTAGATAACAATAATTAGCTTGGACTCAACAAAAAGTGACATAAATCCCGCATAATAAGTTCCCGCAAATGAAAAAAAAACGACGTCCGACTTTACCTGGATACCAGCTTTTTTGCAAAACGACTCGCTTCGAACGTGAACCGATATAATAAACACCTCAATTCTTGGCAGAGGCATTGTTTAATGATTTTTCGTTGTGAACTTGCACAATTCTCGGGCGACTTGGAGTTTTTTGAGTGAGACTAGCGAGAAAAATAAAAGTTTTTTGTATGTCTTGGTAGCATTTAAACAAAAGGGACTCCGGGGCTTGTGTGAAGGTGTGATTTATTTATGACTCTACCTTAAAAGCCCTCGCTTGACCGACATCGGGGACGTTTTTAACATTTTGTTGCGATCAAATAGTATCCTATATTTGTATAACGATCACTTTGTTCTGTGTTTAAATACTTTTTTTTTTTTGTTGCAGGAACAACATGGATATGACGTGTGCGAACGCCACATGATTGACGAACTCGTATTAGTGAATTAAAATTCATAACGCCGCGACTTAAAAAGTAGCGATAAGATCAAAAATGCTGGGGTGTGCTCTGAGAAGAGTTACCTCAGTGTTTATTCCTTCCGCAGCTACAAAAGTCAACTTCAGCTCGGCTGACGATAGCCGATGCTTAGATAAGTAGATGATCGGTCGTCATAGATAAACTTTTAAGTTTTGGCCATTTTTCAAAAATTTTAATTGGCAATCGCGAATTACGAAGCTAGTCAGAGCAACAATTGAGATAGTGCATAAGTTACCAATAAGGATTACAATAAAAAACACAAGTAGCGCCGAACCCGCCACTGCGGTGGTATGCTTTATATTGCATCTTGTGTCGACTGTGCGCTGACTGGTCGCTACGTCACGTGGCTTCCCGGCGCGCGACTTCAGTGCTGGATGCTACTAACTGTATACACGTAAGTACCTTTATTTACTCTTTTATATTTCTGATTACTACATAGTACTTTCATGCATTTTTATAACTTTAAGTGAGATTAGATATCCGTTTTACTATTCCATTATCCTTAATCCATTCTCCTTAATGACTTTCTAATTTAACATAATCAAAATATAATTTATTTACTAAAACATTTTCTGTAATGTATTGACCGTTGTTTATAGTTGTTACTTCTGACTCCTCGGTAATAATACTCGTAGGTTATGGTCTTGACGGAGCCCTTTAACCTTTTCTACTTCATGCTCATCAATGTAAAGGACATAAAACTTGTATTCAGACGGCTACGGCTTCAGCCATCGGGGAGTGGCTAGAATACCAGCGACTACTCGATTTACGACGCACTTATCATCACTTGTTTCTAGCATTCCACCTTTGTTCGACCAGAATACACCACTTTTATTATCATCATTATCCTTTCTGTCTTCTTTTGTTAAAATTTTACTATCGCCAATGTTTGAGTAGTTGAGAACTACCAAATGCTTTGCCGTAAAAATATTCTTTTGTACACATTCTTTGGTCACCAACATCGATAAAATTTCGCACAAATTAATGCACTTTCCGAATGCCTTCATCAGTTTCTTAGTATTTACAATAATTTAAAGTTATCCGTTGTTTGTTATTGCATTATCTAAAGTAGGCTCAGTGTCTTGTGTGTTAATGCTATAAAGTAGGTGGTGAATATTTGGCAACAACTTGAAATATTTGTACACATAGTTTGTTGAAAAACTCGCGAAGATGTGTTAAATCGGCTGGAATGTCACATTATTTGATGTTAAACAGATAATTTATTACGTTAGATTAGTTTTCATGGCCCACGCAATATTAAGTAATGCTTCAAAGTTCAGTAGTCTAAAGTAATCAGAGTTCATGGATTCGCAAATTAATTTATGGCTTGATTATTGATTAGCTGGTAATTGCCAGTGGTGTTTTATTTGAATATTCAGTTAGATGTTTTTCAAATATGTTGTTACATCTAGTCATTTAAACTCGTAATTTTTTTTGGATATTTTAATTGTGTTTGGATATCTTTATTAAGCGTCAGTATTATATCTTATTTGGTCTTTGAAGTACACGTAAAAAAACATGAACCAATTAAATAAAGTAAAAATATATAAATATTGAGTCTATCACAAATTTTTGGATTTGGCAACGCCTATCTGTTGAGTGTATGTATTGGTCGTCCATTTTTAGTAAAAATGGGTGTTGAGCTTACCAAATTTGTTCGGAGGTTATAAGAAGTTATGGAAAATAATAAACGAGGTGTACACTTGACCGATCAGTTCCGCCCACGTGAAGTGTTCAACTCTACCAAAAGAGGAGACAATGAGCTAATTAATAATAAGCGACATCTGGGCTATTCCCATTAACCTGGACTAGAGTAACAGTATTTACCTTTAAGGACATATTTTGTTCACACAAATTATGTAAATTAAAAAAAATATTTTTACTGGTTGCGAATAATTTAAAACTATAATCCTGCGCACATACGGGTCACTAGATCGTTTAACGAACATTTCTTTACATTTTAGCAGCAGTAAAGCTTCTTATGAAAGAGTTCTTCCGGGCATCTTACCTACTTCTGCCGCCAAACATTAATATGAGCATAGCTGCATTTCGGTTTAGAAGGGTAAGGGTGTTGGTGAAATTACAGGCACATGGAACTTGTCGACCTATGTCTCAGTGGCAGTGCTCCTAAGATTTTTGAAATTTAAACCTCTGAGTAGCAATGCAACTGTTATGGATAGGCATGTTGCTTATCACCAGGCGCCCGACTTGTTCGTCCCGTCACTTGACATCATAAAAAAATCGGACATACTTTGATTCACAGGGATTAACAAAGTAAATACGTTTTGCAGTGACATTTTATTTTTAATTTTTTAATTTCAATATATTTAGAAAAGGTTATTTAATATCGGTTAAAATAAGAATAACCTATCAACAAAAATCATGCATAACTAATCATACACATTCGCGAAGTCGGTAGCCGTGGTTGCGTACGCTCCTTTTATCATGTAAATAGACCATATGAATTAGCATACATATTGCTTTTTTGCTTCCTTAACTGGCCACTTCGAATGGTGTTTGGATAGAGATACAATAACATCGAACATACTGTACATGTACTGTTGTTAATATAATAGCTATTGAATAGGTTTCTGTAAACGGCTTATTAGTTTTAAGTACCACCTATGTTTTTTCTATGGAATTAACTTTCACAGGAAATGAAATATTAAGCATCGTAATAGAATATTTGGGGTACTCAAGAGGTAATAAAATAAATTATCAAAATCTTTTTCATCATTTAATTGAACAATTTTGTTATAATTTTTATTAAATAATTATTATTCATTATTTAGCAATATATTCCATTGATGGTACGGGTTTCCTCTTACGGGCGGGTTAAGGCTTTCACTCGCTTAAAAAGTTTTAGAACCTCCGACTTGAAGGTTTCATCATGTTTTTTTCCTTTAGGTATTAAATACAATTGTACATAATTAGAAAAAAACTAAGGCAATTAAACTCTGAAGCTAACCTACAAAAATTACTCGCTAGGCTTTCGCTGCTTATTATGTAATTTTCATAAATTAGTTTCAAGTAATGTAAACCTTGTACAATAACATTAAAATTCATGTTTACCATGACTTACACGGTTGTTATATTCACAATCGAATAGGCCCGTTTTGACGCCTGGCATCGTAACGTAACTGGGAATGTGAACCAATAAATTGTTAATCAGATTACATTCTCACGAGAAATCGTTCAAAATTTGATGAGTTCTAATTGTCAAGATTATTTTTAGGCTCAATGGTTTTAAGTATAGATATAACAATATATAACATTTATTTAAATATCATGAAGCTTAATAAAACCGTAAGTATAAAACTCATCGTTATAGCAAACAGAAACAGGCAAAGCCTAGTCACAAGGAAAAGATACCAAAAACAAACAAGCACAAAGTCAGCTTTCAAGATGGTCAAAGACTGCACATGTACCCACTCCGAGTGCGGCTAGGACGAAATCAGTGCAGTCAATTAAAAATTAGCAAAAAGGAAAAGGAAGTCAAACCTGGCTTTACGACCTACGTACTGAGCACTTTTTATTTTTTCTATTAATATTTAAGTAAGTTAATTTTTTTACCTGGAATCGAATTGAAGCAGACAGATTCAGCTTGAGTAATTTCGTTTATTGTTTCGTGGATTTGATTCAAAGGTACATTCTATAGTCTTCGTCTTTCTTGGCTGTCAAAACGGGCCTACCACACTCTGTCAAATATACTTAAATTTGGACCTGGTGGCCTACTATGAGCTTAAAAGCAGCCAACCAAGTTCCATGCAATTCTCTTGACGTGGTAAAACTGAATTGTTTAAATTCGTATCATGACCTACACAACGTTGAACGGGAATGGCATGACAGGATAGTGAGTTTTACTTTTTAAACGTTAATTATTGTCTGTGGCTGGTTAGCTGACTTCTCACAAGAGCGAAATGGACATACTAAATCATATGAAATAAATAGACAGATGTACTATCCTGGGAGCGTTCAAGCACTATGAACCGATTGTGTTCAAAATGAGAATAATTATATTTTTTTATTAATTTTATTATTGATTATACTTACTTTGTTGTTTTGTAATATCGGCAACTTTCCAATCATACTTTACAATTCGTTGCGCGACAAAATTACATGTCTAGTCATTATTATTGAAATTAATAAGGTGAGTTTGTAATTTGATAACATAATTAGAAAGTATCTTGTGAATTGTTTTTGTGAGGTCATAGTACGAATTTGACAGACAATCCAACTTACAGGCTTAAATAGGATTGCTCTAAGAGCTTATAGTAGGCCCCCTGATGTAAATATAAAAACGCATTTCAATTGCGAAAGTGTTGCATATACTAGCACTACTTACTGAGAAAAAGAAATGTTATCAATTGACAACAGCAATACATTGAGTGGGCAGAATTGTCTGAAGTCACCAGTATCATGTTACGATGTCATATTACAACATGACGTCTAGACAAAACGAAAGACAGGCATTTTTTGCTGACACTCAGTAGGTGTTTGAGAAATTGATGGTGAATATAAATATTGCTTCTGTTACATACTGCGGTTGATATGGCCATTGTTATCTGTTGCATGTGTGATTATAAGTTCGTCGTAATGGATTCAATATGGTTTCGATTCAGATTGTAAGTTATATAGTACATTAGTGCAGAGGCCTGGAAGTAAGGGATTGCTGGACGGGTATGAGTTACAAGGACGAGCGCCAATGAGGTCTTGTATTAATACAAGTCAAGCAATCCCCGTTCCCACCGAGGCATGTATAGTATTTTTCTCAAACAATGTGAGGGAATAATAAAAGACTAAAGAGAGGAAGATGTATAATAGAAAAAGTAAAAAATATTAATATTAAAAGTAATATTTGACGCGTAGGACAATTACTAGAAGAAAATATTTTTTTTTCCAGCCACATTAATAGTAGTCTGTTAAACTTCTGATAATGTGTTTCAATATGTATCTATTACTGTGTTTTCGTTATCGCTCTTCTCACTAGCACTCATTTTCGCGACCAAAATAAAAAATAGGCGAAAAAACAAAAGAATACCAATACATTCTAGTTTAGATGTTAACGCCGTTTTCTTTTTTTTTAAGTAGGCGGTACAGGTAGGTATTTTGAATTCTCGTAACTATGAACACTGGGCAGTTGGCTGCATGAGTTTTTCTTTTGCCTGTTTACATAGTTCATTAAATTGATAAATTTAAAAGTTTACAAAAGTGGACAGTACTGGATTTTCATACTTACTTTGCAGGCCTTGGTCGGGAAGAAGTCGTACGGTCCTTAAATGACAAACTTTCCGTGTTCGTTTTTTGAAAGTAATGCAAACATTTCCGAGCATGTTTGAGAAAATGTATTTAAATAGTTGACTATTGAACATTGAACAGCGCAGGTAGAGGACT